CCCCCCCCCCCCCACCCACTTTAAAAAATGCATTTGTTGGAAAAACATTTTGTGATTCCCCTGAGAAAATTCAAATCCGCTGGCAAAACTTTTGTGTCTCCTGGAGAAATGTGCAATTGCTGGCAAAATGTTTGCATTCACCGGTGAAACTTTGCGTTTACCAGAGACGTTGCATTTGCTGGCAAATCTTTTGAGTTTCTCAGAGAAACTTTCCGTTCGCTCATAAAATGTACACATATCTTGAGAAACTTGGCACTTGTTTGGAATGAATGCATGTTTTGCAACATAACACGTTTGCTAGAGAACATGAAAGCACTGGATGTAATTTTTTCCTCTCAATGGCCCTATATGGGCTCCATAGCGTCTTGCATATTATGACACCACTGAACAATTAAAATCTGAGAGCTATACCAAAAGAGAAGGTTTTCAACAAATAATGAATTACATTTTGGTCTTGATGCACCATATTTGAGTTGAATATCTCTGCTAATGAGAATCGAGATGGTTTGACATCTCAAAACCATCGGTTTCTGTGTGTCTTGAAATTGATCATAACTTAAGTAACTTGAATTAGCATATGCATAAATCAGATTTCAGAGCTTCAATGGTCAAGTTTCAAATAATAACTGTGCAAAAAGCTATTGTGTGTCTTTAGAAAACTTGAAATATAGTGCACAAGTGCTTTTATAGTAATTTTGGACTTCGAAAGCCCTTTTATTGTATGAAACGTTGTGTTTCACAGGTCTGGAACGACACCAGGGTGAGTAAATGATGACAGCTTTTTATTTAGTTCTTTCATTTTGGGGTGAACCGTTCCTTTACGTGCACAAAGCTTATTTTCTTATGATAATCAGCTCTTTGTTTTCCTAATTCGCCCTTTCCTTTGCTCTCTGTTTCTTTCATTAGCTTTCCCGAGTGTATTTTCAAAGGCTCATCACGGAAGCTTGTCTTATCTGATTAAAAGCGAATTAGAACAAAAGATTTCTCGGCACGGCCTGCTTTAATTACCAGCACTTTGAACCCCGAGCGTGCAAAGCGTGGCGTTGTTCTCGTCACTACAAGACGGCACAATTGGAGGAGATGTGCGCGCTTGCACGCGCAATCAGCGGGTTCCTCGAGTTCTCTCGCGCACCTTCACCCGTGCGTGCAAACCCAGCCGAAAGCGCTAACAAATCTAATGACTAATGATGTGCAGGTGTTTGCCACCGATCCGGCGCTGTAACTGCGCTTCATTTTGCAGTGCAGCAGTTGGCGAGCGCTTGGGAAAGCTGGTCGTGATTCAGTATGTTTGGCGTGGCGTTTGCGCTGAGTGGTGCGTTTGAATGTAATCTGTCTCTGGGGACGAGGGGCCCCGCTAGAACTTGACACGAGAGAGACGGACGTAATCTGAGAGAAAAAAGGGCTGCTTCATACAGCACTACAATGTGCATGAAGATCTCTGCCAGGTTAGTGAGGGTACCGCGCCACCTGCTGGTGGACAATGAAACTGTCAGTCATTTCAGTAACTCGCAGATCACCACCAAATTTGAAAATAAAATGCATAATATAAAATATTTCACCTGATTCTAGATATTATGCTACGGAGACAGATTTTTTTTAATGTATCAAAATGATTTTTAAAGTCATTTAATATTCATAAATCTCCCGTAAATTCATCAAAAAGGAACTTTGCATGGTATTTATTTACTTACTATGGTACCATAGTAAATGTGACAAATGTGACAATTGTGTTGTTTGCAGTTTGCACACTGTATAAAAAAAGAAGGAAAGTAAAAATAGGGCACAATGTATTGTATTAATATTGAAGGTATATGAAAGAGCAGGTGTTTTACCTGTATTTTGAATGTTCCACTTAATTGCATTGTGTTTTAAGGTTAACAGAGATGTCCGTAAAATTCCTGGATAATGTCCTGGCGGAAAATTACTTTTTTAAAAATGTTTCTTTTTTTAAACAGTGCATTGCTTAGCATGCACATTGGTTTATGAGTATAAAAGTGAATACAAATTTCAGCTAAATTAGACTTATAGATACTGCTAGCCAGTATCCAGTAGCCAGTATAATATGACATTTACTGTAATATTGACCTCTGCACATACTTTGTCTTCTACTGGTTACTACCAAAAACAAAATGTACTGGTAATTTTCTGCCAGGACAAAAGCTAACTAAAACAACTTGACCATGGTACAGCTGTTTATACACACATACATACATACATACATGCATACATTCATATAGAGAGAGAGAGAGGGAGAGATGTTTCTATGGTGTTATTATTTTGTGATTTATATCAAAGTACCACATTACCATCTGCAAATTCATGGTACTGTGTAGTTTTGCACGTATTGCTTAGTATTTAGTAGTATCATTGTTTAGTTTACTAGTTTTGTCATAGCTAACGCACGTCTGGTTGTCGATTAATACATTTTTTCTGGAAGAATCGATTTTTATTATCAAGCTAAATGCCTATCATTTATTATTCCAGGGACCTCCTGAGCTGATCCAGCTCTTCTGTGTTAGTATGTTACTCATTGGACTATTGGTAGGCTATTAGTTGTGTGTTTGTGTGTGTTTGATATCTAATATACTGAAGATAAATGGCCTGAAAACTGCATTTGCTCATTCACAGCCTGCTGTTTCAATGATGTACACAAGAACGTGATAACAGAAAAAAAAAGTAACTTTGAGTGGAAAATACCTAGCGGCAGTTCTTCACAATATGAATTGCTCCGGCGACATCTACTAGCAGCACTGAGTACTGCATCGTTCCAGTGTGAGGCGTGCAGTGAAGCTTTATTTTGTTACTCAAACAAGCTTGCTTTTCCACGTTAACTTGACCAAAACATTCTTGTCATAAAACATCGTATATTTCTGAGAAAAATGAAAGAATTACCTCTAGCTGTGGTCTCTAAAACTACGATTAACCTGATGTACGCTGATGCTGAATTCGATTTTTTCCTTGCATCGCTCCGCTTAATAGTGTTTCTCTATGATTTAGCCCTGGAGATGTGTCTGTAATAGCATATGGTTTCCAGGCCTAATTACTCTAAATGCAATTCATGTTTATTATCTTTTGCATCCAGGGAGAACTGCACAACTCAATTATTAACCAAACTGTCCTCCTTTCTTACTGTCCGATAATTTATAGCGGGATTCAATCAAGTTCCCGTAAGTAAAACCGATGATTTTTACTTTCGTTGACGGGAAAGCACTCGATGGTTAGGCCGCTGTGGGCCTCTGGTCAACAGAATACTTTTTGCAGTCTTCAGCCACGTCCCATTGACGGATTTTGACCAAAAGCAAATAAACTGAGAACATTAGAGCAGAACGCAAAGTATGCAGTGTGTTAAAGTCCACTCTCATTCAAGTCAGTTAACAAAATTATGAAGTCATATTTAAATTACTTTTTTTTTGTACCATTAAATAAAAAAGGCAAGAAAAACCTCAAACCTGGATTTGTTGTCATAGTTTGGCATTACTTTTCTGTCAGTTTACTGTCTATCCAAGAAGACCAGCTTGAACCAGGTAAGACCACCACATTTAGTTTGGTTTAATATGCATAAATGTGTGTTTTTGTATTTGCGGTGTATGTTTTGTTGCTTCCTAGAGTCTGATAGGATTAGCTTAGCAACATGCTAACAGCAAGACTGCACATTATAAGAAGAGTTATCGTCACTAGAGCTATAAATGGCCCAATGTGGATGTCAGATTCACCACTTTATCTTTTATTAGCACAAACTTCATTAACCTTGTGTTTCTGCTAAGGCTAATTAACAAGCCTCCATTGATGGTTGTTCAAGTGTAACGGAGGCCAGCTGGTAGGTGCTGTGCCTCCTTGTTAGTTCACCTGCCTCCCATGCTGGCGACCCGGGTTTGAGTCCTGCTCAGTGCGAGTAGTAGGACACGTGGGATTACATTGGTGCCGTGACCCGGATAGGAGTGAGGTTTAGGGGGGTGAGTGTAACGTAGGTGCTGTGCAGGTAAACCTCACTAGCATCTGATGCTGAAGGTTGTGGTCTTTAGCCTCCTTGTTAGTGCGCCTGCCTCCCATGCGGGCAACCTGGGTTCAAGCCCCGCTCAGGGGTGTCTTTTCTAAAAAAAACTATGGTCGCAAGTTCTGTCGTTACCAATAGAGTTCAATGGAACTTACCACCATAGTTAGCTAACGATGTTTTTGGGAAACGCACCCCAGAGTGAGTGCGAGAAGGACCGGGGGGGGGGGGGTGAATTGGGGCCGGGCACCGGGAGGGGG